AAATAATACTCGTTACTTCCCCCTGAGTTGTAAAGTTCCATTTTTTATGAGGTTACCGGAAACGGAATCAGGGTTCTTAGGAAGACTGTGACGTCAAAGTATCACTACTAAACAAAGTGTGTTTGAAGGATATAATTTTACATAATTTTGAATCAATAAACAAGCTAAACATTCGTGGATGGTTTTTTAAGTATGGCCAAAGACAAAAGAAAGTAAGTAAACGTATTTTAAAACAAGTTTTCAGCTTAAATTTACTTAACTTTGGGTCATTTAAAACAAATTATGGTTTCACTTTTGGTGTTGACCCAATTTTGATTCGCAGCTGCTGAAACTGAAACGTCAAGTCAATGTTGTGTTATTAAATATTAGATTATTAGGTTAGGCCTAATTTTAGAATCTTTATTAAATGTAACTAGACTAGATTTCTAGATCTAGGATATCTAGATTCTAGACATTGCTGTCATTATGATTTATATAGACAACGCCAGAACTAGAATCTAACAGTAGACTAGATCTAGAATCTAGCTAGTGTTGTCTGGTGCTGCAGCCGATCAAACACTATTTTCTATGAAAGACTCAATGAAATTATCAATGACAGAGTCAATGATAACTACCGCTCTCCTGTATTTTTCTCTTAAGAAACTCAATGATAAAGCGTTAGTAGTTATAAAGAGAGAGAGAGTTTTTTCAAAACGGAAATAATTCAACTCGTTTAATTAATAAAGCGTTAAACGTAATTATTAATTCTTAATTTCTCAGCGATTGATACAATTGTTTAGGGACAGTTAAACTATTTTTTTTTAAATATAGATCCTCGATCTTCATTTATAATTTATTAATTAAAATAAGATTTTTAAAAAATAATTAAAACAGGTCTTTGTACTATGTTATTAAAAAAAACAACTAATGAATATAATAAGTAATTTTAACTATTTCTCATTCTAAACCTATCGAATATCTTTTTTTTTAAATGCAAGGTAATCTTTTATAGAACCTACATGATTAACTTTTCTTCTAATAATAATAAAAAAAAACTCTAAATAAAAATTATTATTCCTACAAATATTAGAGTAGTCTCCCTTGACAGTTTCTATTCGAATGTATTTTGTGTTAATTTTCGTTATGAAATACAGTTGACTTTTTAAATAAATTATATAAGAAAACAATCTATCTCTGTGTATATTTATTTTAAAAAAATATTATTACAATAATTAGAATAGGTGTTACTGGTTAAATAGCAATTATTCTCATTCTAAATCTTTGGCTATCGAGTTTCATGGGTTTTTAAATTTAAGATTATGAACACATTGGCTTGACGAAAATGATTATATACACTTAAATACATACTAAAATTTACTTTTGTTAATAACCCTACACTATTTTATGCACACATACAAAAAAGAATATTTTAGCGGCAGTTACAACGTCAAAAAAAAAGGAAACTCCTTTATACTGAATAGTTCTACGTAACAACAAAAATGTAAAAATACATAGTCCTAGAGCTCACTAACACATACATACGAAGATATGTGTGTGTGTAAGTAGGGTGTGAGGTGTGTAGACAGGCGGGGTGGAAGGAAAGCAGTTTGGCAGGAATAACGGTAGGTAGGAAAGTAGGTAGGCAGGCAGCAGCGCAGGCAGGTTAGTAGATAGGTAGGTACGTAGGCAGGGAGTTAGGTATGTAGGTAGGTGGGCGTAGGTAGGAAGGCGCCTCACTCGGTATAGTGAGCGATTATAGTAGCCCATCATATTCATAGCGTTTCGCAATTATTAAAACGAACAAAGGTACCATAGTACTCACGGGAAAACCCGGGGAGCTAAATGGAACCCTGCCAGGGTGCCACCAAATCGAATTTTTTTTTCGTAGAAACCACCATAGGGGTATTAGCATTAACTTCTCAAATTTGAATGACAAACGAATGAAATCTTTGATAATGCTTAAACAAACAAACCCACATATTCGTTTTTGGGGCGCGGGTTTGTCCACACTGCCGCCTAGACGCACCAAGGCTCACTGTATGAAAGCCTTGAGTGTACGTTAATCAACCTCTGTAATAGTGAGGTAGAACACACATTGGCGACCGCCCATGTGTTAGAGACGCGTCCCTTGGCGCTCCAGGGAGCCACTGGTTATATTTCCGCAGGGGCACCCCTAATTCGGTTTAATTATAAAATGTCGTGTGCCACCGTGTCCCTATTGTAGGGTGCTCTTTAAGGAGGCACTCTCTGTAGAGCCCGGGGCGCTCGCTGTCGCCAACTGCCAGGGCGCCGGCGGGCGCTCATTATTCTACTTAGTGAACATTTATAGTAGCCCATCTAAACCGTAGTGTCGCCCGAGATGGGTCTTGGCCGCTCTGAGCCACTCAACAGCCGGGAAGCTGGCGGATGAACCTGGTGTAGTTTTATCACTGAATCTCAGAGGCGTAGCACCATTCCTGGCGCCTGGGGACAAATTTTCAATTTGGCGCCCCCCCCCCCCCTCCCGCTGGAGACAAAACTTTCAATTTGGCGCACCCCCCCCCCCCCCGTATTTTTTAAATATTTATAATGTAAACTGTAGCTAAAATGAGCTTTTAATTTTTTTCAACCATTTTGGCGCCCCTAGGGTTGGCGCCCGGGGACATATGTACCCCCCGCCCCCCTCGCTGTGCCTCTGCTGAATCTAGTATTACCTATGACCGCAATTGATGAAATAGCCCCTCTGGATTCCCCTCTGGATTCTGAGCTCATAATGGTATAATTAGAAAAATCGAACCCTCCCAGGGTGCCACACTTAAGAATTTTTTTCTTTCTCGAAACCCTTTTCACCAACTACCCAAAATTTTATGACTCTCGTACGAACAGTGTCAAATTGCATCTGGCTTTTATTTTTATGGAGAAAAATTGCATTGCTTCCTGTCAGAGACCCCAGATCGAATGGGGCGCCAAAAGGGGTAGACAATTTTTTAAAAAATCCTCATTCTTCAGTAAAATTTAAGAAAACAGATTTATACATGGCTGATATCCTCAATTATTTTATATAGGGGAGTGTATGTAGGGATGGACGCCTTTTTGCCAGCGTTTGAATAGGGTTGGCACATAATTGATAGTTCGCCCCGGGCGCCGGAATAGGTTGCTACGCTTCTGCTTCCTGCTAGGGTGCCGCCCTGGCGAAATCTTTCCGGGGGGGGGGGGGGGCGTGCGAACACTGTTAAAAGTATTTTTTTCTATATAAATTCCGTTTCGTTCGGGGGTGGGGGGGGTCGATAGACTTTCTTCGGGGGGTGGGGGGGCTCTGCGTCCCCCCCCCCCCTCCGAATAGATTCCTGGAAAAAACTCTGTTCACAAAGTTTTATGGCGATCCGATGAAAAAGATGTAGTAATTCATATAGGACAAACAGATAAACATACTTTCATTTCTATAAATATAAATAGATATATAGGGCCTACTTTAACTAGTGTCCGCATACCCGCACCAGGAAACTTAGTCACAATTTTCTTTGTTACATTTGAACCCTTTAGGTTAATCAATATTAACAAAATTGAACAAGATGCAACAAATACAATTAACCAAGAAATTGAACAAATAAAATTCACGTTATCTTTTTATTGTTTTTAGATATAGAGTAGTAACAGACTACCTACAGGTCCTAACTCGCGACGAGGTACACTTTTGTATTAAAACACACATCTAAGACATTTTCCATTTAGGTGGGTTTTGCAGTACAGTGGTTTGTTAAGTCGTGGACAAGTGATTGCGCTTATCTCTGTTGAGTAGCTATGTATTCTGTCCTATATTAGACACATTTGTAAATATCTGTCACAATATGGGCAAAGAGATGATATAACGATAGCTTATCTTTGCGGTCGACGCTAAACTTTGGCATCGACACCACGGCCTACAAGTTCAAATTCGGTCCGTCAGAAATGTTTGAAGTCTCTAGATTAAAACTACTTTTCTCTTTTATGTGCCTACTGACCACATCACATGCATTTGTTCTGAAAGTCTAAAAAAAGAGGCACAAATATCTCGTCTAGACTTGTGAGGTCTACAGATTAGGTATTTTGGCAGTTATCTAAGCCCTTGCCTGTTCTGACTCAAAGCCCTATTCTTTCTCTATCGACGCCTTGCGTAACATGGGATTGGGTTTTTAAGGCGGCATAAAGCTTTATGTTGTTCCTTTATGAGTACACTAGATTAAAAACTAACTTTTTCAGATGCCTAAAGATGTTTAACCACTAATTAATCAGAATAATGGGTCAAGATTTCAATTCTTGGTTTTGGGACACGTTAGTTGCCGGGGTTGAGCTAATGTCGATAGCATAAGGACTGTACCTTGATGCGGGCGTTTTATTTGTTGCCCATCGTAATAATTGAATGGTTGATGGGGCTTCTTCGAGGGTTTGATTTGCCGTAATGTTAATGATATCATGCATGTGCGGCTTTTCTAAGAAGAAAATGCGTTTAAACACTTTTTAGTTATGCTTTTTTTAAATAGGCCTATATTTTACGACATCATAATCGTAATGAACAATAAAATGAATTTAAACAACTTTAGAATACACCTGTTTCGGCTAACATGAATGTTATTCTTCAAACTAGTAATGTTAAACGTGTCTTTTTCGCATTTTCGACTTATAAGCAATACAGTAAATTCCGATAACGTCCATATGCATACAAGCAATGGCGTAGGCGAGGAGGGGTTTAATGGTGATTTAATAATGATACTTTCTTAACCCTCTACTGGACATCATGTTTGGTACCTTGCCCCCGGCAACTGGGTGGATTTGGATTACACCCAAGTTTTACTTCATAGTAAATGACTTCAGTTTTAATTATTGGAGTTGGTAGCAACATTGACACAGTTGAAGGTATTCAGAACAAGGTGGCCAGGAGAAATCACATTAATTAGTATATACTTTTCCATTACTAACAATAGGCCCTACATAATTGTTTAATGTTGCTGGATATTAAGCCTGGTAGGTATTTATGTTTATTAATTTGTACAGAAACAAAAAAAGGATTCCCAAACAAAGTTTTATTTTTCAGAAATAAAGAAAATGATACAAATCAATAAAGAACAGTTTTCAAAAGAATTTGTATAAAAGTAATTATTATAAAATAAGAATATAGCATTGCATAGATAAAAATAAAATACTTGACACAAACAATATGAGGAATATTTTTTATCAGAGAAGAGAAAAATATATGATGTAGTTTGAAAATAATAATGTACAGAATGTAGCTTTTGCAGATTTAAATGAAAATTCTCATGTCTATATAATTTATTGAGTAAATGAAGCAAGGCCCAAAACCATATGCTAAATAATATGCATGGGACAGGCATTGAAAACTACAAATTGCATATAGTGAAGGTTACCCTATTTATTGGCTATATCCACAGTAAAGATTTATGGCTTTACTACCTGCTTGTAAAATTGTTAAGGAAAAAGTAAAGTATTGTTAACTTTTTATGGCAGACCAACTACGGGCTGTGTTCTGGGAACATGTCATCTGTAAGGGGCATTGTTCTCGGCACATGTTGTCATTTTTTGTGTTCTCGGCACATGTTGCCATTTTGTGTGTTCTGGGAACATGTTGCCATTTTGTGTGTTCTGGGCACATAATGACATTTTGTGTGTTCTGGGAACATGTTGCCATTTTGTGAGTTCATGGAACATGTTGACATTATTTGGCTGTGTTCTGGGAACATGTTGCCATTGTGTGTGTTCAGGGAACATGTTGCCATTTTGTGAGTTCATGGAACATGTTGACATTATTTGGCTGTGTTCTGGGAACATGTTTGTTTCATTTTTAAATATTATAATAAAACATTTTTAGAAATTCTATATTAGGAATTGTGTATATATATAAATTTATATATTTGATAAGACAATTGGATAAATTATAATAAACAGCAAAAATGATTCAAATAAGTTTAGAAGTATTTGGCTTGCTGTCCTAACAGTGAACTGTATTGCGAGCTTGTTTCCCTAGTGATAACCCATGTTTTTTGTGCGACCCCTCCAATCAAGTATCCAGCTTTTTCTTGGCCTGTATCAAAATGCTGGTCAGACTTGCTTGACTTGTGTATCACAATATGATTTTGAATGTTTTTCTGTAAATGAAATAAAGGCAAAATATTTTTATACTTTCTTTTGTGGAACTTGCAAGAAAAATAAATTACAAATTTATATTACTATCTCTAATATTTCTTTACTATAACTAATTACTTTGAAAAGATAAAGCACTGAACATGATGAATAACAAGAAACAAACATTATCATCAAAGATTATAGATTTAAAATTGTGTTCATTCATATTGAAGATTAATGAAGTAGACTATCAATATTTACCCTCTTGATGGCTGATACTTTGATTTGATGTCTTTACTTTAAGCTTACACATCAGTCTCTGTGTGGTAAAATATGAAATAATATGCTTCAATAAAACTGTTTCACTATATTAATTATATTAGATAAGTACATAGTTTTGAGCTCTATAACAATATGTGTTTCAATTATCATTCAAATATAATACCCTCTATGTTGTACAACTCACTGATTTACTAGAATTTAAAAAAAAGACAATAATTAATAAAATATTTTGGATTAAAATCCATTATATTTATTATAACATACAATGCTATCTCTGGCTATAATAATTACTTTAAAAAATGGGTTATGCCTATAGTACAGTTACCTGAGGATGAAACTAGGCACAGTGTATAGTCCACGGAGGCTGATTAATATCACTTGTAATTGAACATCAGTTGTAGTTATGAAATCAGGATGGCCAAACACACACTCATAGTCCTGAAAAGCAATTTACACATAGATTAGCAAGAATATTTCACAAATTATTAAATTAAAGCTAACCACTAAATACAATCCATCAAAGTAGTAGCATTTTTGTTAAGTTGTAGACACAATACAAAGTAATGTTTGGTCTGTGATTTACATACTTTTATAAAATAGCAATCAAATTATATATATATATATATATATATATATATATATATATATATATATATATTCATTGTAAATTTTAGCTATGTCTTGCTATTAAATTTATTTACTCGACTGATCTAAACTCACTTTATTTAAACATAATATAGTGGATAAGTATAGTGATTTTATTATTCAGCAATAAATAGCAGGCCTAAAAAAATTTAAATAGTAACGTTTGCGAATGAACACATTAAATTCTATGTATTTCCATTTCTATGTCTTTCCCAACTTGATGCATATTACTAACCAAGCATTAAACTATAGTCCTAAACCTGACTCTAATTACCATTTATTGGACAACCTGAACCTTTGCGATACCATGTTATAATATATTATTTTAAAAAAGAGCTTACCACTAATTAGTAAAATCAATTGTTTTTAGTATTAACTGAGCCGCATACTATCTGCTGCTATTGTCATCACCAGAAATCCAGTATGTTGGCAAAGATTAGTCTCTAAGTTCCCTGCAACCTCTTTCCTCTCGAGTGCGGAAAACACTGAAATCATTAATCATTATTTCATTATGCCTAATAGTTTAAAGGTACTATTAAAGTAGTACTAAATAGTACGAGTCTTAGTTACTATAGGTCTAATGATAATTATTATTGTGTATGCTTACATGCTTTAAGTTTTATGCACAATATTGGTATATAATATATAGTCTATAGTATATAGCCTAAGCTATAGAGTAAATAGGCCTATGAGCCTAAATATAACAGCAGCTTGAATAATGCTCATTAGCATGCATTCACTATAAACTATAAAGATAATCAAATATTTCAATTTAATTAAATTATAACTAATAGGCCTAATAGTAATTAGGCTTTTTTCTTGTTGCAACAAATTTAAAGTATAGGGCAGTACAGTTATAGTATAGGCCTACTAGATTCTATATTTAAGTATGTATAATGTGGGCTTTTCATTCCAATGCACCACAATAGATACCCCACATGATCAAGCTGGACCTCTGATCTAAAGATTTAATAATTGGGCCTAACAAACAGTGAAACTACAATAAAAATCATGTAAATTACTAATTTAACCTTCTTACCTCCGCTTCTCTAGATTCCTATTCTATTTCCTTCAAACTTTCTTTTTATGCAGCCGTATGATTAGATTCTAGACTATATTCTAATAAACATGAAATAACTACTAACCAGAACACTAGATCTAAATTTCTATATTCTATGCAATATGTATTAAACCTATAGGCCTAATATTTATTTTAAATTCCTATGCGATGTGTCGTGAACTGTAGGTTTCATGTTACTTTTTTTAATGGCGGAAATCAGGTTAAAATTTCGTTTCCTTCCTTTTGTTATTCTATTTATAGATTCAAACTGCTTAGAGACGGAGCAATTATCATTGAGTTAGTCCGCTGATCCACACAGGAAGTGCGGGTATATCTATTAGTTACTCAGTGATCCGATCATTGACAGATACAGAGATAGCCATTCGCATGGGGTGGGTGCTGTTGACTTGAAGTAGTCAGTCAGTCAGTAGTAGTGTATCTTAGCTGCTGAACTGAGTGATAGTGATAGCTAACACCCTAACTGTCCTAACATAGAGTCCTACAATACGCCTAACCCTAATCCTAATTTATAACCATAAAAAACTATTTGAGATTACAATACTACTATTATTGAACATCCGTATCCTCAATCAGTAAAATTGTTCACTGAAAGACTGAAAGTTTTATCTTAAGTGAAAATTGTGTTAAAACTTAGAGATAGAGACGTAGGGCCTAGCTAGAGACTAAGATTTTTGTTAAAATAACAGTTGAGTAACAAGTAACAGGCTTTCTTGGTGTTTGAATTTTTTATTACAAAAATGTGTCAGAATTTAAAATTTTTAACATTCATTGACTATGAATAAAATATTCACAGTCAATTATTTCAGATTAATAAAATATAAAAATAGTTATATCAAGCAGGAAGGGTGTTGGGCAACAAGGGGGGCAGGGGCTTCTTATCACTCACCAGTACTGTTTCAATTTAAACCAGATTTTTTTGTGTCATTATTTTGTATTTTTTATAGTTTTGTGCAGATGGTTATGAATAACTGATCTATGATGACTGATGTGAATTATGCAATATTATTTTAGAAAGAAATCACTGAATTTTTTAATTAAAATTTCAGTGGTTTGAATCTTGATATGGATGTGTAGGCCTACCTTATTTTAGTGGGAGTGAGTCTTACTTATTTTAAGGGGAGGGGGAAGGGGGTAAAGATTATTCTTTAAAGTAATATATTAGTAATGTTATATAAAATATATGTATAACTTCTTCCCATATTGATTAATTTTATTGGACTGTATATAGACTATCTAATTCTATGAACAATAGATCAAAATAAGTACAGAAAATGCTAGTTTTAAGTCAAGTTTTATCTTTAAAAATGTCTGTATTAATTCATTTAAAATTGGCATTTATGGCTCGACTTTAATAGAAGAAAATAAACTTTGTAAATCACCAAACTACCATACTTAAAGTACAGTTTTGTGTGTATTGGTGAATTAAGCATTCATTTCCAAATATTTTAGTTTAGAGTGTTACCTCTATCTTTTTTGATGAACTTTGTTTTAACTTATCCTCTAGTTTTCTAGTGGATAAATTATGATATTCTTAATTAGCAAATTCAGTTCCTAGAAATAAATAAACTCACCATATCAATGAAGTTGATCATATATATTTATAGTGTCAATTAAAACAAAATAGTCTTTCTCATTTTCTTAGTTCTGGTGACTAAATGTTGAGTAGTTTCTGTACCAATCAGAAACGTAAAAGTAAGTCACTTGTCAATAAATTCTATGTTACTTGGTTGATAGGTGCTCTTTAAATAAATTAAACTTCTTTTTCAAGATCAAGTGCAGCAGCTGTTATTCTGGTTTAAGAAAAAAAAACTAAATATTTCTTGTTTCAAATAGTAAAAATATTAAATGTATGCACTATGCACTATTTTGTAAAATTAATCTGGCCTTCCTGTACTGAAGGCCTATACAATTCTGTGTGTATGAATTCACATCTTACCAATTGGGATAAAAATATTCTAACTCTAGCCCTGCCTTGGTGGTCTGCCCCAGGCACTGTGTATGCTACCTCTGGTGGTAGCATTACCATTCAAGCTGTTGAGTAGAGTGGGTTTTACAAGGAAATATTAGCAACATGTCACAATAAGTCATGGAGTGGAGTGTAAGAACAATTAGAAGAATGCATTTTATTTTTAAATTTTAAGAATCCTCTCACTATTATAACATTGCAATATTTCAATACCAAAAAGTAGAAAATAAGCTTTAAAATGTATTTGAAAGAAAGAAAATAATCAAATTCTCTATGGTTATGAATGATTATAATACTAAAACAAAGCACTGGTCGCTCTAGAAATCTTTCAAGTGCATTTTATTCTTTTCTTTTTTACTTATCTTATTAAAGTTTACAGAACTTTATGTAAGTTTTATTAGTAAACTAGGATCAGCAAATATTTATAAAATATTGGCCTAACTATTAGCACAGCTCATTTTGTTTTAGCCTGGTTGCTAGTGTAGCTAAGTTAGAATATTTTATAGACCTTAAGCCTAGCTGTAACCATGACCCATAGATTTAATGTATCACTAGTTGTTTGGTCATTGGTGCACTTATGGGTCACAGCAGCTAATAATTTTTTTTTATTTCCAACTAAAATATAAAATAAAACCAGAAAAAGTTCTTCACTTAATGATATAAATGGGAATAGTAAAATCGTAATAATCTGTCTACTTTCACCCCTGTAATTTCTTAAAGAGCACTCAGTGCCTGTCAAATGTCACTTATGACATTTCCTTTTATTTGTTTGTCTATGTATAACTACACTTACTGAAGCTAACCTTTTTTTTAAATTGGAATTAATAAGTGTCTCTTTTCTTGTTAAAGATTTATTCATTCTTGGGCTTTAAATGATTTGTGTAAGTACTTATTGAGAAAATAGTTAATCAATTTATTGCTGTGCATTAAGTTAGTAACATAATGATACACATAAGCCTCACTGACTTAGCCACTTTTCCCTTAGCTTTACCAATGATTTCCCCTGACAAAAGCTTCTTTCTTGTGTAAACATCATACAACACTGCAGTTTTTAGACTCTTTTTGTGTTTTGTGTGTGTGTCCAGGAAGTTTGGGGACTAGTGGTGGTGTGGAGACACAGCAACTTACCTGAGTGATTATTTGATGGACTGGTCTTTGATTAGTGTTATCTTAGTACCTGAATAAAAACTATCTTAATGAAAATTTGCATTGCCTGAGATGTTGAAATTGTGTACCTGTAACTTAATGAGACTGTATGACAATATACTCAACCTGTCTACAGGACTATATAACAATATACTCAACCTACCTAAAGGACTATATAACAATATACTCAACCTACTTACTGGACTATATAACAATATATTCAACCTATCGACAGGACTATATAACAATATACTCAACCTATCTACAGGACTATATAACAATATACTCAATCTACCTTCAGGACTATATAACAATATACTCAAACTATCTTCAGAACTATTGAACAATATACTCAACCTATTATATAACAATATACTCAACCTATCTACAGGACTATATAAGAATATACTCAACCTATTATATAACAACAATATACTCAACCTACCTACAGGGCTCTATAAGAATATACTCAACCTACTTACTGGACTATATAACAATATACTGAACCTACCATCATCATTAAATAACAGGTTACTTGATGCATCTACAAAAATATTTGACTGATATCAGAAAGAAATGAAACCATACACGGACTCAATCTACCATTAAGTTAGTTATGTTTTGTAATGACCTTTTGTTTGCCCACATGTAATCTGTGAATTATTTTCTCATGTTTGGTATGGTGTTGAGGCTGCTAAAAAACGTATCACTAATGAATATATCATGTAGCTACGGCTGAATAATGTTGCTGTAAAATAATGGTGTGTGTATGTGTGAGGTAAAGTTTGCACTCTTGAAGTTGTGTTGATTCATCTGGGAAGGGAATGTGTACACTTGGGCTGTCTGTAGGTCGACGGATGGACAGCTGATTAAATGTAACTTGTGACGTCATCAGCCATATCAGCACAGCACGGGGTCGTCGCTTTCCTTGCTGCGCTTGTATAGGTAGGCTGGTCTAGATGGTTCGTGTCTAGCACATAGAGGGTTCGTGTCTAGCACATAGAGGGTTCGTGTCTAGCACATAGAGGGTTCGTGTCTAGCGCATAGAAGGTTCGTGTCTAGCACATAGAGGGTTCGTGTCTAGCACATAGAGGGTTCGTGTCTATCACATAGAGGGTTCGTGTCTAGCACATAGAGGGTTCGTGTCTATCACATAGAGGGTTCGTGTCTAGCGCATAGAGGGTTCGTGTCTAGCACATAGAGGGTTCGTGTCTAGCACATAGAGGGTTCGTGTCCCACTTGTATAGGTAGGCTGGTCTAGAGGGTTCGTGTCTAGCACATAGAGGGTTCGTGTCTAGCGCATAGAGGGTTCGTGTCTAGCACATAGAGGGTTCGTGTCTAGCGCATAGAGGGTTCGTGTCTAGCACATAGAGGGTTCGTGTCTAGCACATAGAGGGTTCGTGTCTAGCGCATAGAGGGTTCGTGTCTAGCACATAGAGGGTTCGTGTCTAGCGCATAGAGGGTTCGTGTCTAGCACATAGAGGGTTCGTGTCTAGCACATAGAGGGTTCGTGTCTAGCACATAGAGGGTTCGTGTCTAGCGCATAGAGGGTTCGTGTCTAGCGCATAGAGGGTTCGTGTCTAGCACATAGAGGGTTCGTGTCTAGCGCATAGAGGGTTCGTGTCTAGCACATAGAGGGTTCGTGTCTAGCACATAGAGGGTTCGTGTCTAGCGCATAGAGGGTTCGTGTCTAGCACATAGAGGGTTCGTGTCTAGCACATAGAGGGTTCGTGTCCCACTTGTATGGGTAGGCTGGTCTAGAGGGTTCGTGTCTAGCACATAGAGGGTTCGTGTCTAGCACATAGAGGGTTCGTGTCCCACTTGTATAGGTAGGCTGGTCTAGAGGGTTCGTGTCTAGCACATAGAGGGTTCGTGTCTAGCGCATAGAGGGTTCGTGTCTAGCACATAGAGGGTTCGTGTCTAGCACATAGAGGGTTCGTGTCTAGCACATAGAGGGTTCGTGTCTAGCACATAGAGGGTTCGTGTCTAGCGCATAGAGGGTTCGTGTCTAGCACATAGAGGGTTCGTGTCTAGCGCATAGAGGGTTCGTGTCTAGCACATAGAGGGTTCGTGTCTAGCACATAGAGGGTTCGTGTCCCACTTGTATAGGTAGGCTGGTCTAGAGGGTTCGTGTCTAGCACATAGAGGGTTCGTGTCTAGCACATAG